ATAAGATATTTCCTCATATATTAGGGGCAGAGAGAGAGAGAGAGAGAGAGAGAGAGAGAGCTAACGGTTTTATATCCATAAAAGAAATCCAATTTTTCAATTACTTTCTGTCAAAATCTATATATTATTTTTTATCGGAAATAAAAACAAAAATTATTTTAAAATTTTATACACAATACTATGTTTGGTATGCAATGCACAGGAAATATGGTTATCGTAGCACTCATAAAACCACATACGATAGAGTAACCAGATTTAAATGCATATATAATTTTCATTATATAATATCCAGTACTTTCGTGTAAGATAAGTGAATTAAGTTTAACCAGGATTAATTTAATAAAACGCCAATATTGAATCAGATTAACATAAGTGTTTATTATATCAATATAATTTAATAAAATGTTGTCGTGTTAAATTATTATGTTTCCGCAATAATATTAATTTTCACGGTTGGGTTGTGACACAAATCATTTTTATCTAGATTGGCCACTCTAGTAGATGTAATTCTCTCTCTCTCTCTCTCTCTCTCTCTCTCTCTCTCTGAACATTAACTGGTAGCGGATTTATATCGCAGTTTGTGTAATAAATAGAGAGCCGGTGTGACTGTGTGTCTGTGCCGTTAGAATGGGAGGTTTTATAATGTTATACATATGGGAATTGTGTGATAAATATTGGTCGCATAATAAAATTAAAAGCAATTAATTTATCAGGATAATTTAATATAAATCTTCAGCTCTCTCTCTCTCTCTCTCTCTCTCTCTCTCTCTCTCTTATTTTCATAGACTTTAATAAATTATAACTATTTTAGCTAGAATGAATAATAAAAATTAATTCACATAGTTTAATTTAGATTTATTTTGTTATTTTAATTTACGTATTCTTATTAAACAATTAAATTAAATAATAAACCAAAATGATTCTTAATGGTGTCTATACAGTATAATAGTATTGTTTAACTATAAAATAATGGAATATTCTATACTTTACATATATTTATAGCACAGAATTGAATAATTATTATAAGTTTGTAAACACTATAGTCTAATAACTTGTTTACCATTTTCATTGCGCTATTACTCTTAATCTACTGTATATTACAGTATATTATATTAATGTATTTTCATATAAAAGCATCCGCTAAATTATTATCAAGATCTGTTTATACGATAATTATCATTGTATTCTTAAGATCCTATTACACAAATGTAATCACCATAGTAATATTGCTAGATTACATTATATAAGTAAATAATCTTACAATACAATGATTATTTACAATGTTATTTAATGAAATTACAATGAAATGTACATTATATCGGATCTGGTTTGTATTTATAGACATTTATTAAATGTTATTTTTGCTTTTGTTTTAATGCGTTTATTCTACATTGTAGTTGCTTTAAATAATATCAGTTTATATACATATAAATTATATAACATATAATTGAGTAATTACATATTTTACACATGATTAGTTATTTGTAAAATATAGACAATAATTTTAACTTTATTACGAGCACTTTGTACAAACATTAAATAAATTGCACATTTTATGTTTAATACACTTAAATTATATCTATTGTAAACTCTATATAAACTTTATATTAAATTGCATTCATAATCACCATAATTACATTTATTGCTTCTATTAATAACAAGCATAATGTAATTTGAAAATAATATTTATACAACAAAAATATATAATGTCTACTAAGAATTTAAAATGCAAACAAAATAAAATTGCATATACACTTATTTAAATGTTTAAATATTACAATTCAACATGATAGTTCAATAAATATTAAAATACTATGAATGACAATACTGTGTAAAAGTGAATATCCCTGTAGATTAACATGTTTGATTTATGATACGGTATAACATGTTTTGATATCAACGTAGCATGTTGTTTTAGAAACGGGTTTTATAGTATGTGCCAAGGCCGCTTAAAAAAATTATTCCCATATACGTATGTACATTTCCACATACATTATGGTAAAATCTAACATCACATGTGAATTATCATTGTTTATGTATTGAGTAAATTGTTAGCCATATTTGTTTGGGAATTAAATGTAATAAACATTTTTATAAATAGTGTTATTTGTATAATAAAATTGTATTAAAACAACATATCAGTGAATATAAGATATAACTAACCTAATAATACTAGTCACATTCACTCCATACGATTAACATGGGCTACGACCGAAACCGTTTTATGCACCATAACCCTGAGCACCTGGATGAATTCACGTGCGGCATATGTATGGACATTCTGGTGCAGCCCGTATTCAGCCCGTGCTGTCGCCATAGTTACTGTTCGGTATGCATCAGGCAATGGCTTATGGTAAACAACACGTGTCCCAACGACCGTGCTCAATTGCGCGACACCGATCTCATTAAGCAAAGCCGTGCGTTTGTGAACTTGCTAGATAATTTACAATTAAAATGTGACTGGGTTGACTACGGTTGCGATGAGAGTGTTAGGCTGTGCGAGTTGGCCGATCATGTTAAAAAGTGTGTCCATAATCCGGGTAATAAATGTGCTAATTGTGATGAGTTTGGGGCCAAAAATCACGATTGTTTGGAGAATTTGCGCCAAAAATGTCGTCGATTGGAGACCGATGTGAAACGCCTGTCGGGAGCCAATGGTCACTCTACTACTGGTAGTACAGCGGCAACTGATAATGGCTGCGGTTCGCCACACGTAGCGCTGCCCGTATGTCCTGTATTTTGTATTAACAGTTAGTTTACATAAATATAATTAATGTATATTTATTTTTTAAGTTTGTTTAATTAATTCACTAGCTATTTATTTTAAGTTTACACTATGGTTAAAGTAGCATATACTGTACCATGTTTAAAATGTATGTATGATTAATGTATAAATTCATTTGATTTATTAGTGCCAACCAATGGGACTGCGAATCAATTCGTGCGAATTGGACGCCAATATCAGGGAACGGGTTATAGAGATCGCGAGTCGACTGTGTATGACGTGTACCACACAGCGAGAGTTGGCCGTACAGATCAAGCAAGAGCTGGACAAATGTTATGGTACAGACTGGACGTGTATGATCCGTGAGCCGGGTCGGGCGGCCATAGCGTTTTACTGTGAACAGAGTTCGTTCATTAATTTTGATCTAGGTGCTCACAATTGGATTGTGTTTAAAAATAAAAATTGGAAATAATTATTTGTTTATTAATTAAAATTTTTCATTTTTGGTAATTTTTGTTTTGAGTTACCGGTTTGTGATTTACTGATTGATTACTGTTAGGTTACTTGTTTTATAATATAGTTATAAATGTTTGAATTGATATAACAATTATTTCTTGTTATAAATTTGTAAATTATTTATTGTATAAAAGTTTTTTATATTAATATATTTTTGTGTGTAAGTGAGTGAGTGAGTGAGAGAGAGAGAGAGAGAGAGAGTGATAGAAAGTTACATTGAATTTGTTTGAAAATTTAAAGCAATTCCTGTTTCTCAACAAATAATAAAAAACAAAACATTTTGATTCAAATCATTTATTATTGTTATTTATTACTGATTGAAAACTTTGTTGCTTTTTATATATTGTTTTTATTATGAAAAATGCAAACTTTGAAACAGTATTTTAAATAATGATCTCTTTGGCGTATATACACATGGTAACGATCAGAATATGGTAAATTTAACAATAATCTACTTTTGCCTAGTTAAATTAACCTTGTACAGTGCAACTTCTCCATAATGAACGGCCAGTTGTACGACAAAAGTGTTCATTATAGGGAGGGTTCATCCAAGGGAGGTTCGAGTAAAAGTGTCTTATTTTTAATGAATATTTATAAATAATAGCAATTATTGAAAATAATCAGTAATTTTAGCTTGTTTAGATATATTTAAGTGACAATTAAATGTATTAGTTTTAATTTAGTCCAATTGTTCAAGTATTTGAGCATCGGATGCGTTTCTAAATATAAAGTAATAATTTAAAGTTCACTAATCAAAGAATGAATACACATCTCTTACAATATTGAATGAAACTTGATATAAAAATGTGATTTTGTTTGCTTAAAGTCTTAGATTAGAAACTATTTTGAATACATTTGGGAATGATGTGCTTATTATTATATTTGT